GATCTCACTCATTACCTTGAAACTCGAAGTGACGAATAAGTTGTCCCTTCGAGCTCTAGTCGATTGTGGGGCGTCCAACAATTTTGTGCGACGCCAATCGCTAGAAGATGGTCACTTTAAATTCAGTGAATGTGACACACCCCCTACGAGGATGACGGTACGTCTTGCGACAGGCGCATCCGTAACCGTCATGAAGCGTATAGTGAAGATTCACTATACGCTAGAAGATACCCAATACGATGATGACTTTATCGTATTGGATTTGGATGACAAATTTGATGTCATCCTTGGAATACCGTGGCTCAGAAGGTACGAACCACGGGTAAACTGGCAACATCGGACAGTAACGATGCCTGCCGCTTGTTCATCAGATGGCCATCTGATGAACGTTTTGGAGCGTCCACAAGCGTGTGGATGTACTACGAGTGAGTGCGATGGCCTCACTTGTGGTACGGTCGTTAGTACGACTGCACAAAACCTTAGTGTACCAAACGGTTACACTTCGGAGCAAAGTTCCGGCGGCTGTGAGGAAACACAGGCTGCGCCGAAGGTCCACCACTCGAATAAGTCGGGTGGACTGGGACAAAGATGTATCCCTAGAGGGGAACATCTAGAAGAGAAACAATCGATCGCTCAGGTTAAGCGAAACGATAATCCTAGATCGACTGGAGAGTCTTTCGTAGAGGATCTCGCTGTGGTTGCGCAACCCCAGCTAGAGGAAGTAAAGGGAATAAGTCCCAAGATTACAAATACGGCGGAAATAAGTTCCCCGAAACCCGCGGGAATAAGTCCCCGGGAAGACGAAGGAATAAGTCCTTCGAAGCCTGAGGGAATAAGTCCCCAGGAAATGACAGAGACATTGAATGTCATAGTCAATAACGGATCATGTGTAGGCGCTTATACACTTGATCTGATTGCGCCTCCGAAGTTAACTTCGGAGATCACTCAGTTGCCAACGCTCGAACATAAAAGGTTCTTGCGTGATCTGCGTAGTGGCAAAGTCAAGCAGATCTGCATACTCGTCGCTGACGACGAGTATGTAACCGACATAAGGTCAGCAACAGTGTTTACTGAGAACGAGAGAGTTCTCAGTAGTTCATCTATGGACGAGAGTGTCCTAGATGAAAAGACACGAATTGAGCGATATGAGTCCCAATCATGGGAATCGCTCAAGGAAAATCCTCTCTATGAAGATTTGGTTGAATTCAAGGATGTATTCCCTGAAACTGTTCCGTGCGAATTACCGAAGGATAAAGGTATTCGACACGAAGTCGAGCTTAAACCAGGCTCGAAGTACTGTGTCATGAAGCAGTGGCCACTGCCTCGTGAACAGTACTTGCGATCGACAAGTTCTTTGCCGATCGTTTAGCAGCGGGCCATGTGAGGGAATCAACTTCCCCACATAGCTCTCCGACCTTCTGTGTGCGAAAAGCAACAGGAGGGTGGCGGATAGTGCACGCGTTTAACAAATTGAACGCTGCAACGGTACCGGCTCAGACGCCGATACCGAGGAAGGACGTAATCATTGATGGTATGTCAAAGAGTACCATCTTTTCGTCCATGGATTTGATGGATGGCTTCTATCAAATCCTAATGCGGGAACGGGATATACCCTATACCGCAGTTAGCACGCCTAGCGGCATGCTCTGGGAATGGCTAGTAATGCCACAAGGGCTCAGTAATGCCCCTGCCACGTTCAACAGGTGTGTATCACATCTGTTGAGGCCAGTACGAGAATTCGCGCCGAGTTATTTCGATGACGTATTCATCCATAGTCGAGCTATGGATGGAAAGTCGGACGTTGAGGTTCACAGGTATCACGTCCGACAAGTTCTTACAATCATGCGAAAGCATCAATTGTATGCAAACCTCAAGAAGTGTATATTTGCAGCAAGCGAAATACCACTTCTTGGGTGCATCGTTGGTAAGAACGGTGTACGTCCTGATCCCGAAAAGATCAAGGCGATCACCGACTGGCCTGTGCCGGTCGATGTCAAAGGTCTTCGAAAATTCCTTGAGCTAGCGGCGTATTTGCATAAGTATTCACGCAATTACGCCGAGATGACTGTACACCTCTCTCGTTTGTTGAAAAAGAACGAGAGGTGGTTATGGAACGCTGAATGTCAACGCTCCTTTGAGGGTATCAAGCAGAGCTTGATACAATCCCCAGTCCTAGCAATAGCCGATCAGGACAGGCCATTTCATGTGGTCTGTGATGCCAGCGATTTCGCAATCGGCTGTGCATTAATGCAGTACGACCTTGAAGGCTTTGAACGCGTCGTCTGCTATCAGTCGCGTCAGCTGCAACCAGCTGAGCGGAACTATCCAGTGCATGACAAGGAACTCCTTGCCATGAAGTATGCACTCGCGAAGTTCAGAGTCTATCTATAAGGAGATAGACCCTTCGTTGTTTACACTGACCATGCGTCCTTACGCACGGCAGTGAACAGCCCGCACCTTTCACAACGAATGGCGCGGTGGTTGTCATTCTTTGCAGAATACAACTTTACGGTCGAGTACAAACCAGGACGACTTAATGTCGTCGCTGATGCACTCTCACGTCGTCCCGACTTTGAAACAGTCGCGAAACCCAACAGTGAGACAGTCACTGTTGCGGTTATGACGTCCTCAGTTCCATCTACAACGTTGTATGATGATGTGAGGCGGGCATACGCCCAAGATGGTGAGATAGTGAAGTTGTTGTCACATCTCTCCCAACCATCTCGAGAATCGTTGAAACGATTGTCGTCTGCGTATCGATCTGCATCAGATCGATACACTACTCGTAACGGTTTACTGTACTATACAGCCGTTTCTGGTGACACACCACGTGTTGTCATTCCAGATGATATTGATCTGCGTTTGCGGATCATGTTCGAGTATCACGATGCTCCTATAGGAGGACATCGTGGCCGAGAGAAAACATATCTCACGGTAAGTCGAGACTTTTACTGGCCCCGCCAGTATCAGTTTGTGCGAAAGTATGTTCGCGCATGCGAAGTCTGCCAACGAGTGAAGTCAAGTCCTTCACTGCGTGCACCTTTACAGCCTCTACCGGTTCCGGCTGAGTGCTGGGAATCCATCTCAATGGATTTCGTCTTCGGGTTACCCAAAGACGCACGCGGGAATACGGGTATTCTCGTATTTGTTGACAGATTCAGCAAAATGGTACACCTTGTGGCTGTACCAGAGACAATCACGGCAAGTGGCTGTGCTTGTGTCTTTATTGACACCATCTTCCGACTTCATGGGTTGCCCCGTGAACTCGTATCAGACAGAGATCCACGATTCACTGCTGATTTCTGGCGTTCCGTGTTCAAATCACTCGGAACGCGCTTGAAGATGTCAACATCTGATCATCCAGAGTCAGATGGTCAGACGGAACGTGCCAATCGTGTCCTTGAAGAGATACTTCGAGGATACGTACACTCCTTTAAGAGTTGGAGTGAGTTTTTGCCGATGGTAGAGTTTGCCATCAACAACTCGGTGCATGCGTCCACGACACATACACCGTTTTACGTGAATGGCTTGCGCCATCCGCGTGTACCCACCTTACTAGAGTGTAACTCTGGTTTAAGGGGGGAGGGACTCGCGCGAGCAAAAACCGATTTGGTTCACGCTCATCACGCTCTGACGAAGAAGTCATTGCGTTTGATGCCGATATCGATAACATCGATATCGAAGAAGATGATGCCAGTGAGAGTGCGGAAGCCCTCACTGAAGACAATGATCCCAGTGAGAGTGCGGAAGCCCTCACTGAAGAAAAGGTTGTTGTCGCTGCAGTGCGCTCACAGCACACTGAAGCTAACGAGTCATCAGATGAGTTCATACTGGCTCGTGAAACGGTAGTCCGTTTTGTGCAAGACTCCATCGCCGAAGCGGTGGATAAGCAAAAGCAAAACGCTGACAAGAATGGAAGGGCAAACACTCTTTTATTTAATAAAGGTGACTTAGTCCTACTGTCTACGGTTAATCTACCAAAACATGTAGTGACTAACTTGGGTAGCAGTAAACTACTACCCAAGTACATTGGCCCATTTCGTGTATTGCACCGCCTAGGCAATGCATACACGATCGAGTTACCACGTAAGATGCGAACGCATCCCACGTTTTACGTTGGTCGGCTTAAGCCGTACCATCAGTACGCTGCTTCTTCCGATGAAGAACGCCCTTGCGCTCAAGCATCTCGCAGAGAGCCTTGTGCTCCCGATGGTGGGCATCAACAAGGGTCTGAAGAGCAGTTATCTCAGCCCGAGACCGATCAACAATCCCACGAGCTACCCTTAGCTCGTCACGAAGAGATGTCAGAGATCTCTCGTTCTCAAGCTGAGCAAAGGCAAACTCAGCTCGATGCTTCGAGGCAGTGTCCACCATCTGGAGACGCCTATTCCGCTCATGCTCGAGATCGTCGCGTAACCCTTGCGTTACGCGATCAAAGAAGCTCTCGGGAACACACCGATCCACATGATCGTGTGGAGAGCGTCTTTCCTCCTCCTCCACCTCCATTAGAGGACTCTCGCGGTGGCCAGCGCTATCTAGTTGAGCAGCTGTTGAACCACCGCGACGTGAACGGACGTCGGACGAGTTACCTCGTCCGGTGGCGCGGCTATCCCCCGTCCTGGGATTCTTGGGAGCCCCGCTCCCAATTGATGGTTGACGTACTGGGTCTGGTCGAGCAGTACGACGCGACACATCCTGTGCCGCAGAAGGACCGCCGGAGAAAGTCTTCCCGGCACGGTCGTAAAGGGATTTCAGGTTGTCAATCCCTTCGTACATCTCAGTAGAGACACGTACGCGCCACCACGGGCTGGTAAGGAGGTAAGCCTCCTTAGGTGCTCGTGCAGAGTTGTTCACACAACATGGGCACGAGTCTCCCCAAGAGAGGCAGGGTAATCCTTCCTCCCTTGACAGACGATGCAGCTTATAGCGTGCACCTGTCGGGGTTCGCTTTTCAAACTTATCACGAGCTTTGATAAGTTTGTCGTTCCAAGCGTCACGACCTACATCCTCGAGATTATGGATGTAGGCGTTCCACGCCTGAAGTAGTGAGGGACCATCACGTTTGTGATTCCCACTGTACCATCGATGTCTGAAGAAAGCATCGATGAAGAACTCATGTTCAGCGCGATAGTCTTTCGCGCTGGGGTCAAGGTGATGAATCCTTCTGACGAATCGAACAATCGTGTTCGATAACGATCACTCGTCGTCGCCGACAAGTGATCCATGACGGATTTAGGAGGCATCCATGCCTTCTTTTCTGGAGCGAGACGCAACACATTGCGGTCCCGCTCTTCCTGCGACGTGCCGACAGAAGTACTGGCACCTCGCTGTGAAGTGGTGTCCATTGGAGAAACGACACCACTATTAGCGCCCGAGTCTCGCGACCTCGAGCGCCTTCGCTTCGGCGATGGTTCATCTGACTCATCAGATGAACCAAAGATGCTGCGACGCAAAGCATCGTCCATGCCACGCTTGGCAGGCGGCTTGGATTCAATTGCCGTCGATACGGATCCGTCATCCGTATCAGGAGAGTACGAGACACCGAGCTCGTACTCTGTGAAGACACGAGTGTCTTCATGACCAGCGCCTGCATCACCAGGTGATACAGGCTGAGTCGATTCAGCAACCGATGGGACATCAGTTGCTGTAGTTTCTGCTTCGGCGTCCGCACAGAGACGTGCAGACGCGCTCTCGGCGGCCTTGCTCGCGCATCGCATGGGCTTGTTTACCATGCGATGAGATGTTGGAAAGTGGACGCGGACCAACAAGTGCAAACCCCGTCCCAAATGATTTGGGACGAGTATCCATTTAGTCAATCAGTCACTAAAGTGACTGATGGTTAAGGGGGGTGATGTAACGGGGTGAATCGTTACATAACAATTTATAAGAAATTGTTAATAGAATATAACTATAAGAGTTATATTCTCAGAATATTGTCATAAGGACAATATTCTGTAGCACTTCCAAGTAGTTTCTAATTGGTTGATATAGGCCATTATATCAACCAACGAAGACGCGCCACGACAGACGCACGCAATGAGTGGTGAGCAGATAACTGATTTACACATTTGTATTTAGACATAGTTAGATGAAGATAAATAGTGATTTATTGCAGACATTAACTATTATAAATACAGTTCTACTTTTTACTCTAACCGAGTACTCGCTTCTTCTTACCGTCTTCCTCTGCACGTACGAGTGTACGTGAAGTTACGAGGCACCGCCTTATTCTGTTATCAGAATAAGTAGCTTGTACTGTCACCAGTACAAGCTTCAGGGTGCCCTGTTACAGTTTTCGGATAGTATCGGTAGAATATGGTCATGCTAGACAATATCTTTATCGACGCCGTTCGGTATCAATTTCATGTAGCGGGCTACCCCGTTACAGCAGTCGACTTTTGAACCGCGTGGTATTGTGTTACCATTGTCCGACAACATTACAACGCTGGGCGTGTCTTTGATCTTGGAGCTGCGAGCGATGGGCGTGCATTTGCCAATCGAAATACCGCATTGTGGAGATCTGAAAGACTCGACGACCCGCACAATTCTGGAACAAGAAGAAGTGGGTGTGCTGCACTTCTATGATGTTTGTGAACTCGCGTCAGAGACCGTCAGTGTGCAGGATGCGTCCGTGAAGGTGTTTTGTGAGAGTCTGAGCAACTGCTATGAGTCGTTCCGAAGCTTTGACATCAAGATACTGGCTGTGATTTTATCGCGGTTTGAAGAGGTGATGCTGCTTGATGCCGAGTCCCATGTCGCTCTGAGATACGGACAAGTACCAGAGTACAGGCACGCTATTCTTTTACGATCGTTTTACAGGCGGAAAAATACACTGGGGAAAACTTCTCCATCGTCGCAATGATAGTGTGAGACAAATACATGACTTCATGTCACGGTTCGATGTGTCCCTGTTCAAGCCATTAGGTCACATTGAACGACCAAAGGCAACAAGCGAGAACAAGGTGCCTGTAACGCTACATTTCTCACCCAGCGAGCAACTGTTGACAAGTCATTCGTGGAACTAAACTACCGAGCTGGACACGAGATGGACTCGTCGTTAGTACTATGGAACAAGAAGCGGCAGCCACGAGCAACAGCGATCCTGGGAGCGTTCGTAGCGCGCAATCGCATCGACCGGCCTCTTTCTTACGGAGATAAGGAGCTGTTTTTTGTGGCCACTGAGCTCGCTGAGACGCAGTACGCGTTTTCTGATTATGAAGCGGGAGGTGCGGGTTGGGACTTTCGCGACGCTGGCCCCGGCAAGTCGGTGCTCTGCGGCACCGCTACGCATTACTACCCCGTTAAAGCGGAGGATGAAAGGCTCGCTGCAAATGCTAGCGTGCTGTACCTCAACAGCGATGACTTCCTCGTGTATGACCCAAAAACGAAGCCCCTGTACTATACTCAGGCGCGACCTTGCGAGGTATACCCGGGTGACGTGTATTAGAACGGTTTGGATATTACGTGTCCGTTCGACGTGACGGGTGTGCGCTTTTCTCCTGAGCAGAAAGATCACATGCTGCTACGTCAGCACTTTTACGAGGTTGCTAAGGCATGGATGGAGTAGCTATTGTTCAGCCAGCACGATATTTTGCCGTCGAGGAGATTCTGGTTTTTTTTGTGTCGAGTCGACGGCACCGTCATTTTTGTAAATAGAGGGCCATAAATACGTGCACACGCGCAAGCGCAGTAGCGAGCAAGTGCTTATCATCGCTCGTCAGAAATAAGCTTGAGCCAGATGGCTCGCTCGTAAGTAGTGCAAATACACCTCTTAATGCTTTGGCTGTCATACTGAGGTGACGTCCTCTTCTACCGGACTCGACGATGAGGAGACTGGCGTTATTTTTGTCCTAATCTATTCCTTTCTCCAGTTGACTTTCATGTTCCAAAATCGATTGCATATCAACACTCGATCTTTTTGACTACATTCATTTCTCGGATAATTCACATATCCTCATAACTCATATAACTTGCGTTCCACCATATCGTTCTATAGTCGCTAACTCATAAATCTTAACTCATTACTATCGGAAATTTAAATGAATTCCAAGGGAAAAATTATACGAGAAGCTACGTGTCCAACAGGTATTATATATGTGTAAAAAAATACACAATTAAGGAGGAAAAAGTGCCATTGGGTACTAAATTGGTGCTAGCAAGAATTCAAAGTGCTTCTAGTGGTGGTCCTATGCGGATGAACGTCTTTAGTACCATTCGATTTGGCCGTGAAGACAATAACGATCCGAGCCAACTAAAATAGTGAAGTAAACTGTTATTGAACTGAGTAAAATCCAAATGCTAGAACACTTTTTCAGAAATTAAGAATTAGCTTTATACTTACATCTTGAGATCCTCAATCTCTTTTTACGCAGCAGTCATTTCCTGATTCAAGTTTAAAACAGGCCTTAATCATCTCATCATTTCACTATATCAGCCCAAACTGTAAAGGTCTTTCTCTAATATTAGAATTGTCGGTGTTGAAAAATCTTAGGGCTCATAGTGAGCAATTACAGCCCGAAGTCCAGGCAAAACTGCATCCATGGCTTCCTCATTTCCTGAAAAACTCTCGCCAAAAAATCCTATACGATCGGGCTGTTTCACTGATGCTGGCGAAGCGGCTTTTAAATGGAAAAACTGAGGATGCCCATAGGTAGGCTAAGGCGTATCATAAACGTCATCGGACTGACCTCGGTTTTTCTCCGGTTTAAAAACATTCCTTGTTTAGATCGAAGACTCAAGTTGACGGCTTTTATTTAGCTTAAAAATATGACCGAATGTCGGTAATTTGGGGAAAAGTTCGTTATTCTTATGATCAGTACGCTTCTCAAATAACAAAAGAGATGACGTTTTGGGTGATATGCAATCCCGACTTGTTATTAGCCCAATTTACCAGCACGTTGTGGCCCATATATTATAGTCTAGGCCTTGATCTAGCAAAACTTGGGTTTCTGTGCATTGTGGACAGTACACAAGACATCATAATTTGAAGATGCTAAACGACTAGTTTCCCTTAAGATTCGGCCGGGTCTTTTTTTGGGTCTAGGGTTAGAAAAACGCCGTTTAAACGCATGCTGTAGGAAATCGCTAATTTTCCTGACACGTTCAAAAATTGATTTTTGGTGTTTGCTACACTAAGGAGTTTCTCTTGATTGGTTTTGTGTTTCGGCTTCGATAAACGATTTTTGAAAATTCTACTTCTGTGCTGTCATTCAGTCGCTTCTCAATATTTACAACCACGCATAAGAGGCATGACAAGGCTGTTGAAAAAGCGGCTATCGAAGAAGCCCCTGTAATTTTGATAGCTACGTTCAGCTTCGGCTGCATAAATCGGCTTGGATGAAGTTAAGCAAGAAAGAGGCACGATACGTAAACTTGTATATTTACTCTTCTACGATCACTAAGATCCTCATTTAATTAATATGTAAATTGACTGTTAATATATCCAAGATACCAATTATACTTTAAATTAAGTAAGAGCGTGCCAGTGTTATTATTTCTAAACGAAGCGTAACACCCCAGTATTATTGCTCGTGAATAAGCGGACGTATTTAGTTTGGTGGACCTATTAATTGTGTATCGAAGAGGGCATCATAAAGCGAGATAGACTTCGGACTGAAACGCCAACAGTAAATGAAACAGCAGAAATTGCGCGTTAGCTTATTTTGCAGCCTTTTTATTATTATAAGCTTAGAGTAAACATTCTAAGAAAAATGTTAGTAAATCGAGCAGATGACATCGACAAGGCTAGGCATTTATTTTTAATTACTATTAGGTTACTTTTAAGGATTTTAGTTTGACCAAGCCGAAAAAAAAGAATACAGCCGTTTAACATTTGCCTTATCTTTTACAATTGTTTAGAGTAATAATGTAATGACTCTTTCATTTTGGTATATTAGTATTGAGAATTTCCAAAAGTCAAACGCTAATAAAGTTCAGTTCCTCTTGCACAAATTCTATAATAGCTTCTTCCTTCTGGCTCTTAATAACAAATAGCCTTGAAGAGATAAACGATAAGGGGAAAGCGCTGGAGAGCGCCCTTTAGTATGTAAAGTTCATTCACTTGAACGTGACCAAATTGCGAAATGCTTTACAATATCAGTCACTAATGCTATGCAAGGGCAACGAAATTTAGCCTTTGCTTACGAGCGTACAGCATTTGATTATGTGATAATTTTCATCTTTGATCGTGCAAAAGCCAATCACGTGCGTGCGTTACAACAATCAAAGCCGAAAAGTGAATCGAATATACTAATACATCAATGGGGAAGGGACAGGCTAGATCACTCTTAGTACGTGTAAGGTACGCCTAGCCGCTCTCTATACAGACAGAAAGTCAGGCAAGTACAATATAGAAGTTCGAAATTCACCTTGCGCACAGTCACTGATAAATTCAATCCTTGAGATATTTAAAAGAATAATTGGTACCAGCTTTTACAAAGTTATCAATATAGGCCACCCCTTTAGCTGGTTTGTGTGGTGTTGAAACTGCGAATGACATCCTGGGGACTGTGGATTATCTTGGAAGCACTACGGTTAATTACTATAAAAAGATAGTACAAGATGTGTACAATACTTAAGATAAAAAAACTTCTCATACCTGTTCAATCTTTTATAAGATTGCCTACTACTCTTCTTTAGCCTCTTCCCTTCATTTATCTTTTTGAACTGCGTTCAAAATCTCTTGATTATTGATATCTAGCTGAGCTCTTCGTCTTTTTAATAAAGTTGATTGGATCATGAATGAAGATTAGTCAATGGTGACACTGTGTGCCTAACGAAGACCAACAAGCCCAGAAATCGATTAGGATAGGTACATGTCTCTATATTTGAGGCACAACCTGAGTAATTTTACAAACAAAAGGTGAAGACCTGGTTTATTGGTCTCTAATGATAATATTATGCTGGTTTTGGGTAGAATTATGTAGGGCGTGAAAGAGAAGTAAGTGGTTCTGGATGAGGTTTCCACTATTTTTCTTTGGTTATTGATATTCCCATAATATATAGTATTCATTGACCTCCTAAGCTTTTCTATAGTACTATAAGTAGTTTATTGGTATGATTCTCTGTGTTCGAAATCACCATAATCTGATAACTATAGCTTCTGTTAAGTAATCGGTATTGTGCCCACTGAGGCTAAAGTGACCAAAGAAAGACATCAATAAGAGGTCATGAAAGTTTAATATGGGATTGGCTGAGGTTGACCCCGGTGCCTAGCACTACAAGTAATGTGCGCGTAGTGCTCGAAAGCAGGATGTAAGTGCGGGCCCGCGTCACTTCACCGTGAGTAGTGCTTAACAACGTGTTGATCTACAGCGTTTTATGGACTGTGGAAACGTGTAAATAATGACGCATCAATGTATACGGACGCGCACACATGTCATTTTTTATCCGTACGCGCAAACTTAAGGTGACTGGAACTTGATCCATGTATTAAATATATTGAAAGGAGTATCAACTAATACATGTCGGGCTACCTGCCGCCCGAGTGCTATCTGAACGACCAGATCACCTTTGCCTATATGGCTATTAATTTGTTTGATGACAACGAGCTACGTATCAGTGTTGTCACAAACAACAATTTGCAGACGGAGAATGGGGCCGATGGGACTGCCATGGCGCCATTTAGTAAGAATTTCTTACGTAACACTCGTATTTCACTACGAGCTGCTCGGGGTCCATGTGATCGGTGTCTATCGGTCTCGATACTATAATTAATATTTATCGCGTGCAGTGGAAGTTGCACGACGATATTTTGATCGACGAAGATGAAAACATGCATGGTGAATGGTAAGAGGAGTTGACACATTATGGTATATCTGTTAAATCAAGAGGGGGTAGATCAATGTTTAGGTAGGTGGCAGGTTGCTTACTGTCTTAGACGTGTGTATGTGGCTGCCTGTAAGAGATAAGATTTAATTTATTGGCCGGGTGCGGTCCAAGGACCCAAGTAAAGAACTAGCAGATCAATTGAATTGAGAAGCTTTTTATAGTACGCAAAGCTGGATATTCCCGTGTGCTCATGTGTGACAAATTAGGGTGCAACAAAGTTTGATTATATTCAAATAGGATTTAACCTGGTGCGAAGATAGAAGGATTTATATCGATCCTATATTGTGTTTGTAATCCAAGTGGATAAGCTGGGAGGAGGAGATAACAAATGGGAATTTTGTTGGCATCATGATCGAAAAGATTAAAGCAGTCTCCAATCTCGTGAAGACGGAGAGTGAGCTTACGTACCGGTGACTATGCATGTGATCGGTTATACTTTTACACATATCGTAAGAATGTTTACGTATCTGTAGCTCAGGCAAAAAAATTCAAGTAAAATTAGTAGGTGTAAGTTAATTCTAGCCAACTACTACGCCAACTACTACTACTAATACTACAGCAAAAATACCATGTGATAGTTCAATGCGTACCCGGAGCGTGAGTACCTAAAATATGCGT